AAGTCAGCAGCCAGTCGAGCCAACAAGTCAGCCACAGCCGGTTGAGCCACTCGAGCCAAGTCAGCCAATTCCACCAATTGTGCCAACTCGGCCGGGGGCGGTTGGGCCAAGTCAACCAGCCAGCCAGCAATTGAAGGTCACGCAGAATAACATGGGTTTGAACAACCTTGTGGGCGGTGCAGCTTCAGATGCCGAGACCGTGCCTGGTGAGCTTGAAGTTGCACTGCCTCGAACTCCATCGACCATGAGATACACTGCAGATGATTTGAAGAACATGGATGAGGGTGCCTATACCCTAATTTCAACTGTTTTGACATTTTTTCTCCTTGTGTTGTTGAACCTTGTTGATGCCTGGGGCTTTTGTCCACGCCAGATACCATCCTGGAGAAGTACGCCGCTGGCCTGGTTGACATCAGCTTGATCACTTCTACCAACTGCAAGAAACTCTACATGCGTCTTCGCCGCCATATGGATGACCACGCAGATGAGGTTTCCTCGCCACAGATGGTCAAGATGTTCCATGGCAATTTGAAGGACCGCAGGAATCTCCTCCACAGTTGGTTGAAATCTGGTGAAGTGGCCTCCAAATGCGAGTTTCAACTCAACATCCAGCGGAGCTCACAGGATGATCTTGTCACTGAAGAGCAGCTGCTTACAGTTGATGGGATGAGGAAAGCAGGTATTTCTGAGACCCTTGTTTATGCTTTCATTGTTTTGGCAATTTTTCTTGTTTTGTTGGTTGGCATGAATGTGTGTGTGTGTGTTTGACCTTTCTCACTTGGAAATCTGCAGGGCAAAGATTCAAGCCATTATCCAAAGCCAAGCTCCCATTTTGGACCCGCAGTTCCCACACTTGATGGAGGAGGCTCGGTTCTGGTGCCATGTTTCGAGCACAAGGACTACACGTCAGAGAAGCCGCATGGAGGTAGCAGGGCAAGCTCGATTGCAAGCAGATGGCCATACCATGAACGCTTTGGTGTCAGACCTGGCTCCCCATCAGCCAACATCAGCTACGCCTGTGGGTGTGCAACAAGCGCTTCTGGCTCTAGGCTCAACCCCTGCACCTGATGCCCCTGATGCTCCGAAACGACCAAAAGCCAAGGCGAAGGCGAAGGGAAAGGGAAAGACGCCTCCGGAACCTGAGGCCCCCAAATCTTGGAAAAAGATTTTGGAAGATGCCATCAGTGACCTAAAGAAGGAGTACTTGGGATGCAGCTGCGCCATGGATTTGCCAAAGGGCAATGATTTGAGGACACAGCTGCAGGCTTGCAAGGTCCAGACTGGGGCGCTTTGGGATGAGTTGAAGGAAGTTGACACCGATGCCTTGGCCGAGAGGGACTTTGAGGTCTACTTGCAAAGGGCCACTGACCAGATCACCAAGTCCAAGATGTTGCGAGTGCAGGTGCGGGCCGTCTCGCGTGAGCTGGACAAAGGAAAGGCGTCTTGGCCATCTAAAGTTTCTTGTTAGACAGCGTTCTTTTGCGTTGTACTTTGGTGGTACGTTTGGCAACCAAATAAGGCGAAGAAGTAAATCTGTGGAGACGTTGATTGGGAATGCTCATGCATTTATGCTGAGCTTTGGGGTTTCCGCTCTGAAAGTCATTCGGGGACAACCCTCGCATGCAAAGAGCTGTGGTCAGTCATAGTGCTTGAATGGCCGACGCGCCATGGAAAAGAGTTCGATCTTAAGCCAGCCTGCCTGAGTTTGATGTGGTAGGCCAACCAGTGAATGAATTCTACAGCAAACAGTGGCAGGTGCTAGCCCAGCACTGCGGGATTTGATTGATCAAGAGCACCTCTTCAAATTCTGAGGTATCTATTTTTGTGTTTTGTTTCTGTACGTGTTTATAACAACCGGTTGTTTGCTGTGCAGCTGCTTCATGAGCCTGCTGAGGCTGGCTTTTGCCTTTGGAAGTGGAGACATCTCCCAGAACTTTGCAGAGAGACTGGGCAGACTAGTTGGTTCCAATACTTTTGGAGTGGCAAAATCCAGAGCTCCAGAGCAGCGTGTTCATCGCCGTGCTCAAAAACATGGTCATGCATTTCCTTGCGACGTCACAATGGTAGAGATTCCCATCAATAGAGATGGTGAAATGGAGATAGTTCCATGGCCAATGCTCCTTCCAAAGGATGTCATGATGTCCATGCTGAGTTCTGGATATAGTGAGATGCTTCTGGGCAAAGGGGATGCGCGGTTTGCATACTGGCAAAAAGCATTGCTGGACTACCCGTCAGACCAGAATACGATCAGGCCTGAGGATTCATTCCCCATCTCCATCTATGGCGATGAGGCGACCATTTTCAGATCCGCAACGATGGTTTTGCACTGGCAGGCTACGCTGAACCCGAAAAAGGGTGACAGTCTCCTTTCAAGATTCCTCATTGCGATTATACCCTCTGAAAAGTACTGGTGTGTTTCCCGGCGAGGTGATATCAATTTTTCATAGTTTGGATAATAGGGGGTACTGTGCAGTGTTTTTTAAGGAGACCAGAAGCTTGCATCTGAGGTTGGGTCTGTAAACCTCACACTACAGGCTGTGCTAGCCAAAGTCGTGGAATCCTTGAACGAAGTCTCAGAATTTGGAATTGCTTTTCAAGATGAGCCTGGTTTGAACGTTCTTTCTGAGTGTTTCTCCTTTCTTTTTGTGCCCCACACGGTCTCCCCCAACTCAGGGCAGACGAATCCGCGGCTATGTCATGAGCATGAAGGGGGACTGGAAATACTTGAAGCAGTCCATGAACCTCGTCCGGCACATGAACGCCCAGGAGGCCCCGGGCTGGTGTTGTAGAATTCAAGGTTTTGAGATGTTTTGAGGTCCTTTGTGAAGGATTTTTTGGTGCAGGTTTGCCACAATTGTGGAGCAAGCAAGACTGGATTAATGAATTTTACAAATCTGGATGAAGCAGCTCCATGGCGGAGCACCATTTGGCAAAGTGAAGAGCCTTGGGACACGCCACCAGCAGTGGCCCAGCTATGTTGTTTCAACTGCAAGAAAACCAGCTACGACATCTTGCATGTTTGGCATTTGGGCGTTGCAAGGGACCTGTGGCTCAGAAGGTTTCAATGCCCTTTGTTTTTATGGCCCTGATCTCTTTAGTTGGATCTCTTTGGACATTAATTGGTGCATTTGTTTGTTTGACTTGGTTCGTGAGGATTGGTGGAGTTATGCATGAACTTGTTCATGGAGGATGGTTTGGCGGTGGGTCCAGGAAAGCGAAGCTGAATGTGGCCTTTTCGCGAATGCAGCGGTGGTGCAAGACTTTTGGCAAAAAACCATCCCTGCGGAAGTTCAGCGTAGACAATATGAACATGAAAAAGGGACAATTTCCAGACGCTTGTTCTTTTGAGTCTGTGGTTTTCTGTGTTGAATGTTTGTTTGTTTTCTGCTGATTTCTGTGCTATCAGCTTTTAGACAGTGAGGAACTGCGAGCTAAAGGCTTCGATAGCTACATCGTTCTGAAGTGGCTATGCAGTGAACTGAAGGATGTTCAGCACGACCGTTTCGAGATCCTGGAGAGCATGGTGACCTGCGCAGACGTTTTCATCAGCGTCTTGTGTTGCGGGCCAGACTTTTTGGCTTTGGAAGACCAACGTACTCTGCAGGTCGTTGGCGAAGCATTTTTGAAAGTCTACTTGGCCTGTGTGTACAGCCATCCCACGATTTATAAACTCAGGCCCAAGTGGCACCTTTGTCACCACCTCTGTTTGGAGCCGGCGTTGCGACCCTCGGGCCGCAACCCGGCACAGGACTCTACTTGGATGGATGAAGATTTTATCCGTCATATAGCACGAGTGGTCCGTAGGACGCACCGCAAGACATCAGCGTATACTTGTTTGCAGAGGTACTTGATCCTCTTGAAGCAGAAGCTTCGTTTGTTCAGTGAGTGAAAGGTTTGCTGGCAGATGTTGGCGTGTGTGTGTTGTTTTTTTCCCTTCCCGGGGGGGTATGTTTGGTTTGTGTGGGTGTGGTGTCTTAAGTAGGTTTTGGGAAAGAGGCTCAAGAATTGGTGATGGCCTGGTGCAGGACACCAATGGTTTTTGCATGCAAACGCATGCTAAGTTTGATAGTTTTCAGATGGTTGCAAACCATAATTCCATTGGTTTTTGCATGCAAACGCATGCTAATTTTGATAGTTTCAGATGGTTGCAAACCATAACTCCATTGGGTTTTGCATGCAAACGCATGCTAATTTTGATAGTTTCAGATGATTGCAAACCATAATTCCATTGGTATTTGCATGCAAACACATGCTAATTTTGATAGTTTCATATGGTTGCACACCATAATTCCATTGGTGTTTGCATGCAAGCACATGCTACTTTTGATGTCCCAAGACCATTTGTAATGAATTTTTTTATTCTTCACGTTTGACCATTTGTCAAACATTTTGTTTAACAAACGCTCCTCTAGGGCATCTCCTTGATCTGGGCGCACAGGATCTTCACCCTTTTGTCGGACGGCTGTCCGGCGTCTTTGTTGAGCGTGCTTTCGAGGCTCTTGGCGTCCGTGAACACCAGGGTCTTTTTCTTCTTGAACTCCTTGTCCAAGGTGTGCACCTTCTTGGTGGGGTTGATCATCTCGTAGAGGAGCATGCGGACATACTCTACCGCTTCTGCACCGGCGAGAAATCCGTTGGCCTCTGCAGCTAAGGTGCTTCTGCACACCCTTTTCACACTGCCGCTATAGGTCTCGAGGATGTAGATGGGCACCTCTTTTCCATCCTTCATCTCGGAGCTGGTGAGGCCAAGCACATAGCCACATTGTGACTTTAGCTGCTCGGTGTTCGCGAAGCTGGAGTCCGTGAAGGCAAACACGACGCAGGTTGGAGGTCTTGAACTTCCACTTTGCGTCAGCTGTCTCTTTCAGCATCTTCACGGCCTTGTTCAGCTGGATCACATCCTTGACCTTCGGGGCTCCCATGGACTGGCTGGCCATGGAGACATTCACCATGAGATCAGGGCGTGACTGCCTCGTGATCCATCCCATCTGACCGATGAGGCCTCTGAACTGGGTCTTCTCCTGCTCGTTAAGAGGGGCATTGACCTGCTGTCTGCGGGTCTTGTTGAAGATCATGTACTCGATGCCTTCGATGGCGTCGTACTGGTCAATCTCGATGTTGCCATTCTTTTGGACGATGTTCTTTCCACAGAAGCGGAACTCGCTTCGTTTCACTTTGAGGTGGATCTCCTTCTCCATGGAACTGATGGTCTCCTCATACTTGTCGCCTTCGCCGGCACAGTAGAGGTCATCCACATGAGTGATGAGGATGCCGCTGAGGTAGAAATCGCTGATGTGGTAGAAGAGCGCTGGCTCGATGTGGGACATAGTCCACTCATGAGCTTTGAGCGTCTTGTAGAGCTTCTTCCACCATGCTCTGCCAGCATCTTTTGTTCCATAGATTGAACCCCGGGCTCGGAAGAGATCATGTGGAGATACTCCCGGAGGTGGTGGCCTTGGTGGCCGCAGGACAAGTAGTCTGCTGATGCCCTGGGACTGGAGATAGGCTGTTGAAGCATCGCAAGCAACAATGGTCCAGCCTTTCATCACTGCCACGGCGCTGACGATGTTGAACGCCAGGAGAGATGCCGTAGGCGAATCGCTTCTGATGTTGTTTCCTTCTTCAAGGTGGCCCATGACAACCATTCTGGACTTGGCTTCGAAGGGGAACTCCTTCTTGATCTGTTCTTTTGTTTTGCCTGTTCTCTTGGACAGGAAGACGGCCAGGAGCCTTGGTCTGTCATTCTTGTCCGTGTGGACCCATTTGGTGCCGACGATCTGGACATCTTCAGGTAGCTCTTTCACTTGCTTCGGAGTGAGGAGCTCGACGGCGTTGAAGCGCTGCCAAGATGCCCATTCTTTTGCCATGGATGCATTAAACTTCTCCCGGTCCTCCTTGCTGAGGTTGTGGAGTTTGATGTCGGTTGACCTGGCAGCTTTTCCGGTGAGGAAGGCATCTGCAGGGTCATCATTCATGGCCTGCTCATCCTCAGTGACCTCCTCGTTGGAGTCGGAGGTGTAGCCGGATTCTTTCGCCAGTCGTTTGAGGTTCCGTTCACGGATGACTGAGGGAAACGTTGGGCAATCCCAGATGTCCTCCTCGACCATGTAGGGGCCTTGTAGTGGCTCGCGTTCTGTTCTGACTGGTCGGAAGGTGGCTTCTGGATGTCCATCTAGCCTGTCTGGCTGGTTCATCGCCGAGTTGAGGTCCGGCGGAATTGTTGTTCTGTTTGGTGTGAACCCGATTGGTGGTGTTTCGGGCACATGTTGGAAAGGGGGTTGGACTTGACCGGTCCTTTCCTCTTGCTGTGTGCTATCGTCCATGTCGAGATCGGTTGTTTCTGGAACTGGTTGAAGATGTGCTTGTGTGGCCCTTGTTTGGGCTGCCTGCATTAGTTGTGGTCTGTGATGTGTGTCGGCTGCCGTGCTCGGTGGTGCTGACGCTGAGGAGGGGTTTACTCCTTCAGGTGTGATCGATGCTCCATGTAGTCCTTGTATCTGTTGATGCTCTGGTGGAGGTGGTAGATGGAGACGAAGATCAGCATAGTTCCGAGCACCTCGGATGTAGCTTGGTTCTAGGAGCTCTTGTGGTACGAGATGTGCTGCCAGCAGTTCATCTTCCCTTGCAAACCAGAGCTGTTCACCTGTGACCAAGACAACGCTTCCACCATAGCGGAGCCAGTAACTGTGAGGTTGTCCTCCATCAGTTGGAAGAGCTTCATCTTCTTGAAGAAGTGATCCGGGTAGTCGGACTTGAGGAGTGCCCAGAACCCATTGGTTTGGAGCATAGCCATAACTCCTTGGAAAGGCATTTCGACATTGCGTCACGATGGAGGTGGCGAGAACCACATCTTCGAGTCCGGCGAGTTGCATCTCACGCACGACCTTGTAGAAGATCTCTTTCCAGAGGTGGCCTGCCTTTTCAACTTTGCCGTTCTTCCATGGAGCTTCGAGAGGCATGATCTCCTGCTCGACCCCGAACTCTTTGAGGTAGTTGCTGAAGTGGAGCATGTACTCTTTTCCTCGATCAACTTGGATGGATTGAGGTAATCCAGCCCACGATGACCATGTAGTCAGGAAGTGGCGTAAGACAGCTTTTGTTGCTGGTGGGCCCGGTGAGTTGCCCAGGCATGACACGACTTGGAAGCCAGTGGCCTCACAGATGATGTTGAGGAAGCTGAACTGTTCCCCAACTGAGTCCCTGGCATAGAAGACGTCGATCTGCAGGTGGTGGTTGAAGATGTAGCGACCTGGTAATCGGACAGGACGTGGTCGTCTTCTTCTGATGCTGTCACCGCAGATGTCGCAAGCCAGGTAGTCCACTGCAGTGATGGCGTCCATCTTAGCCTTTTGTCTCCTCAGGAGTCTCTGCAGTGTAGCATTCGTTGGATGCCCGAAGTTGGTGTGGAGATCGCGCAAGGTCTTCCTCAGGCCGGGCTCGACATTGAGCCATCGTCTTCGTCTCTCTTGCGCGGAGAGGTTGAGGATGGGGTCGAGGACATGGGCCTGAATCGCTCTGGCTGAAGTGTCATCGCCAGGAGCCACTGCTGGTAGTGGATCATGTTGTTCTTCATCCTCCTCTATTGCTGGTAGTTCAGGTTCTGTTGGTTCAGGAGGTCGGATGTAGACCGGTGGCGCTCCATATTGAGAAGTGAGAGTTGCCATCCTTCCCTTCTTTCTCCGTTTTGGAGTGCGTCCAGCTTGTTGTTCAGCAGGTCGGACTTCAGCTGGATATGCCTCAGCTATACCAACGGTTGCAGTGTTCTCAATGGCCGCCTGTTGGAGGATCAGGTCATAGACGAGCTTGTTGAGCTCTTGAGGCCATTCTGCTGCTTGAAGTGTCCTGGATCCGAAGGCGTTTCTGCCTTCAAGGTGTTCATGTTGATGATCATGAGGACAGTGCCGATGTTGGAACACGCTTTCTGCCGCTAGCATCGAAGTGACATAGCGGGAAGGCTTCATATGTGGCAATCCGGATTGGGCATCATGGTATCCAACTTGACATCCGTCGACTCGGAGCGGAATGCGGTCACCAGAGTCGAGCAATTTCCGGACACCTTCGAGTTCAGGCTCCTCCAACCGGGGCTGCTCCACGAAGACATGCCGCTTGGCTTTGACTCTGTCGACGATAGTCTTGTTCACAAGTCGGAGGATGTGGCGCCCGTCCTTGCGAAGTTCTTCAATCGTGATGGCGTGTTGACCACCACGTGCCAAGTTGAATCGGCTCCAGTTCCCCCAGGGACCGCAAGGTTGAGTGATCACCAGGCAGTAGGGGTCCTCCTTCTGCAGGTCGTTGTGCAAGAGGCGTTTGCGTGCGGGTGTCGATGCGTCCCAATTTGAGCTGGTGACGTCCAAGGGCACGCCGATGACCATGCCAGCGATCACGCAGAGGATGGAAAGACCCATCTGTCCTGCGAAGAGCTGCTTCATCCATGTTTTCCCATAGGGAGGTTTTCTTGGAGCTGTTGCTTTTCCAGTGATGACCTGGAAGTGGTGCCAGTCATCACCATCCAGTGAGGTGGAAAGTGACTCAAGCTTCTTGGCCTTCTTGGATGTAGTTCGTCTTGTGAGCTGCTCGAAGTGCTTTGGATCATCTGAGTGTCGTCCATGAGCTCGGACATCTTCAGGATCAGGGATGTTATTCGGAGGTGGTTCTCCGGATCCTGCAGCAAAGCGAGCGCAATATCTCTCCCAATTTTGGACGTCCTGCTTCATGGTGTCGAGGAAGTCGACATGCTCTTGCCAATCAGCCTTCAGGTACATAGTCTGGGGCTGAACACTCATCTGGTCCAAGGCGGTCGAGAAGATGTTGATTCAGGTCACGACCTTCCTTCACTGATTCCCATATGTCGGGAGATTGAGGTGGACTCTCTTGTAGCAGGGCTTCTTG